AGAAGGGACCATTCCCTGGAGAAGGATGTCATGCTTGGTAGGGTGGAGGGTCAACGAAAGAGGGGGAGGCCTTCAACGAGATGGATTGACATGGTGGCTGCAATGATGGGCTCAAGTATAGCAGGGATTGTGGGGCTGGCGCGGGATCGGGCCGTGTTTTGTTCTGCTGTGAATGGGGTCACTATGAGTCGGAAACGACTCGACAGCACTTAACAACAACAACAACAACAGGCACTTCACTCACCTCACCCCAGTTCTGGTCTTATTTATAATGTAGCCTGTTACTGTTGTTGTTATGTGCCGTCGAGTCGGACTCGACTCACAGAAACCCCTCCTTGGGTTTCCAAGGCAGTATCACTACAAAAGTTGGTGCCCAACCTTCCTTCCAAGGAGCAGCTGGTGGGTTTGAACCACCAGCCTCATTAGCAGTCAAGTGCCTTATGCACTATGCTACCAGAGCCTGTTACTAGGGCGCTACAATGGATTTGCTCCACATGTAGAAGAATACAGAGTAAGGCTGGCCAGATGTTTGGATTAATCAAACTCTGCAGTTGATAAACTTCTAGGATTTGACATGAACACCATGCTTTTGAGTCAGTTTTATTTCCCTCCCTACATAAATCATCCTGCCTTGTAGTATTTAGAAACCCTTAGTAACTATAAGATATCTCCCTCCCCCAGCTCATCATTTTCTTCATACTGTGTTGAGGCAGAGTTCACTGAGTGGCAGCTTCTCAGTGTTGAGTAGACAATACTGTACGTTTTGACATTCCACACCTCCCAATATGTAGGCACTGGCTTTCCAAACATGCAATGATTCAGCCTGGTGAATGAGTGGGTGTTTAATTCTTCATGAATCCTTGTTATTAGAGGGTGCTGTAATTGTATTCTTCATGTATCCTTGTTATTAAACCCCCTGCCATCAAATTGATTCCAACTTATAGCAACTCCCATTGAGTTTACAAGGCTGTAAATCTTTATGGAAGTAGATTGCCTTATCGTCCTCCTGTGGAACAACTGGTAGGTTGAACTACTGAGCTTCTGATTTGTAGCCATATTCCTTACCTACTATGCCAACAGAGCTCCTTATCCTTGTTATTTAAAAAAAAAAAAAAAAAGCCTAACTCACTGCCATCAAGTCGATTTGACTCATAGTGACCCCTCCTTGGGTTCCCAAGGTGTTATCGCTATGGAAGTAGATTAACCAGTCTTCCTTCCAAGGAGTGCCTGGTGAGTTTGAACTGCAAGCCTTCTGGTACTATAATTGTGATAAGGAGCTCTGGTGGTGTGATGGTTAAGCACTTGGCTGTTAATCATAAGGTTGGCAGTTCATATCCACCCAGTAGCTCTGTGGGAAGAAGAACTGGTGATCTGCTTCTGTAAAGATTACAGCTCTACTCTGTCACATGGGGTCACTAGGAGTTGAAAATTGACTCAACGGCATACATCAGCAACATTGTGATGCTTATTTTTGTGAAGTTTAGAATAATTCATGTATAATAAAACACACTTAACTCAAAAACTAGACTGACCATAATTAAATCTTCCCTTGATGGCTCCAAAGGGCATTCAGAATCTTGCAGCCCTTGCCCAACCTTCCTTCCAAGGAGTGGCTGGTGGGTTTGAGCTACCAGCCTTCTGGTTCGCAGTCACATGCCTTAGGCACTGTGCTACGAGAGCTCCTTTGCATTATGTTGTTAACACAAAAACTAGACTGAACATAATTAAATCTTCCCTTGATGGCTCCAAAGGGCATTCAGAATCTTGCAGGCCTCCAAAAGCATCATTGCACTTCCTACACTTCCTAGTTAGTTGATAATTTCTAATCAGCCAACTGACAGAGAGTTGTAGCTGATAGAATATCAGATGTGATCTTCCCATGTTTACATATTTTGTATACAAAATTTCTATAATTTCGGGTAGAAAAAACTACAGTCAGAAATAAGCTTTGAAGTGAAACCTTAACTGAAAAACTAAGGATGGTTTATTTCAAATTCAACATCCAAAGTACTCTGTTATATGTAGAGGTTCAGAGCATGGACTTTGGAATCAGCCACATGGGGGTTCAGATCAGAGCTCAGTTATCTATGAACTGTGTGACCTTGAGCAAACTACTTTCCTCCAGAACCTCAGTTCCCATGTCTGTGAAACGGGACTAAAAGTGGTCTGAATCCCCGTACGTCTGTTGTATAGATTAAATGAGCATGCATATGAGGGCTTCATATTATGGAGTAAGAGGAGCTCCATAAATGGCAGCATTTCAAAAACACAGTATTAGTGAAAACTTCTGTAGTCTCGACAACCAAGTGAGACCAGTTTAGGGCCCTAACGCACCAGCCACTCCTTGGAAGGAAGGTTGGGCAATCTACTTCCGTAGTGATACTGCCTTGGAAACCCAAGGAGGGGTCACTATGAGTCTGGTCCAACTCGACAGCAAATAACAACAACATTTTGGTCATACATTCTCAGACAGGAAGGGATCTTAAAGAAATTCTACTATCATTGTTAAACTGTGTTCCATGGAGCCCTAGGATTCACTGAAGGTGCCCAGAGGGACACATGGGATCCAGAGGAAGAGGAGATGGCCAGTTGATGGCCAGGGCCCTGGGGCCCTCAACCAGCACCAGAACAGCAGCTCCACTTTTGTCTGTTTCATATACTCACTTTCCTTTGGATTGCCACGTTAAAAGTTATGAAACCACTGACTTAACTCTGTTGTTGTTGTTATTATATGCTGTCGAGTCAGACCCAACTCATAGCAACCCCTCCTTGGGTTTCTGAGGTGATATCCCTATGGAAGTAAGATTGCCCAGCCTTCCTGGGTTTGAACCGCCAGACTTCTAGGTAGCAGTAAAGTGCCTTAAGCACTAGGCCACCAGAACTCCTGACTTAACTCTAACTTCCTCATTTCATAGATGAAGAAACTGAGGCTCAAAAAGATTAAGTGATTTTCCTGTGCACGCAGCAGTATCTCCTGACTCCCAGGCCTATTCCCTTTCCAAGACAGCACCATAGATGGAAGCAGCTAAAAATGGGAAGAAGTAAGATATTGAATCACCTATTGAAGTTTCAAATGGCTCTTCCAGCTAGTTTCTAGTACCAAAAAATGCCTCTAGAGAAAGAAAATCATCTATTTTACCTCCCATCCATTGTTCAGTTTGTGAAAATCATGACTGGAAGAGTTGGTTGTATATGTATATGTAGTAGATGGCAAGAGTCCCTGTAATAGGAACATTTGCCTAGAAGCCTTTTCTTTTCTTCTGCTAGGGAGCAGCTGCTCCATCAAGTGGCCTTTGCTTAATCCTTTGGTCACTGACCACAGACCACACCTCTCTCCATGGCCGACATCTTGCAAATATATTCCAGGGGTTCTCAGTGAGACAGTGCTGGTCACATCAAGTTCCCATTCCTTCTATCAGAGAAGCATCTCCTGCCAGACCTCACACCAGTATCCATTCATAATCAGCCACTTATTTTGCCACAACCCTTGTTTTTCCAGCCACTCAACATTGCCTACAGCCACATCTACAGCTCCTACAGGAACTTTGTGGGGCCCCCTCACTTTAAGACCATCTGCAGACTCCTGGGCTATCAGGGCATTGCTGTGGTCATGGAGGAACTACTGAAGATCGTCAAGAGCTTGGTAAGGAGAGGCCTGAATGAATCCTGGGAGGTGTCCAAGTGGGTGAATTTGAACAAGATTTTCTTTCACTTTTTACCTGGCCTGTCGAAAGAAGTCACAGGCATTCCAGCTCTGTCTCTAGATGTCATCAGGGAGTTCTTCACCCTTGTCCCTCAGTTGCTCTGTGCACCTTCTGACCTACGCTTTATCTCCTATTTTCTGATCTTAAACTCACTCTTTTTATGTGATTATGGAGCTCAGTAATCCTTATTTTGACTCATGACTGAGGGTCAGCAAAAAAGAAGAAGACCCTCATTGAGATGGATTGGTACAGTGGCTGTGACAATGGGCTCAAACCTAGCAACGATTGTGAGGATGGCACAGGACTGGGCAATATTTCATTCCATTGTACATAGGGTCACGATGTCCTGGAACTGACTCAATGACACCTAACAAGAGTGAGAACTGCTCATGCTCCTCTCCTGTGCTGCATTGTCTAATCTGAGCACAGTAAATCAGTGACATATGAGCTGCCATTTTCTCCTCCCATGGCCATGACAGGTATCTCGAATCAATCGCTAGTCTTCTTTCCTTGAGATTTCTTGCTAAACCCTATTATCAATGCTGTACTGGGCTCAAGGGAGTTACATATCCCTTTACCACTCTCTGCCCTAAGTATGGTCATATGAATTTTCATTTAATTCCTTGCAGTACTCCTGAAGCAAGGCTGAACGATTTCAACTAGATTTTCCTAAAGTTTTTAGATGACAAAGGGATATAAAGTAATATTTAACAAAATCAGGAAGAACAAACATGATTCACCTGCTAACCCCAGTTCTCTGATAGCAGCTATGTGGAGTCATGGGTAATTAAAGAGAAAAGGAAATCCAGAGTAAAACAGGAAAATGTGGTAATTGATTAAAGATGTCTGCCTTGGACTCAGGATGGTTGAATGTGCCATGTATTTTTCATTTAAATTAAATAATGTATCTCAATTTCCACAGCTCCCTGACCCTGTTTCTTTTTTAGCTGTGCCCTAGATCTCATCTAAGCATGCCAACCTGAGGAAGGACTATAAATGTGGCCTCCTTGAAGCATATATGCCCAAGAGAGTAATGAGCAGAACTCTTTCTTTGTTTTGTAGAGACCGTTTTCTGAGTTTGATGGTATCTACTCCCTGTAGGAGGGAACCTGCTTCCTCCTGTGAGGGAGCAGTCAGTGTCTTACCCACAGGTCTCAACACATACTCCACACATCCCGGTTACCTGGCACTCAGCCCAGAGAGGCCACTGTCTACAGTGGCCATGAATTGTCTCACCACTGTCCTCTTCTATTGTCAGCTCCAAGGAACCATTCTCCAGTATGTGAAAACGCTGATTGAAGTGATGCCCAAGATATGCCGTCTGCCTCGGCATGAATATGGCTCCCCAGGTGGGTGATGGGAAAGTGGGTGCAGGGGCTGGTGATAGAAAAATAACCCAAATACCACTCCTGATGGAGGTGGCTCTACCTGTCTACCTTGTAGTATTTGCTTCTCTAACATGCTAGGGAGCTGAGTGCTGCATGAAGAGTCAGATGCCCTGACTTTGCTTCCTGACAACAAGACTATTTGGAAGCTAGAAGAGTATAGCAGATGTGGACATCTTAAAATAATGAATAAACTTGATTCCCACCCTGTTGACAGAAAGAACTGCCCCATAGGGTTTCCTAGGCTGTAATCTTTACAGAAGCAATTTGTCACATCTTTCTCCTATAGAGATCTTGGTGGGGTAAAATGCCAACCTTTCAGGTAGCAGATGAGCACTTAACCACTGTACCACCATGGCTCCTTCAAATAATGAATAGTAAGGTTTATATATCAGGGTCTTCATTAGCTCAGCTCATCTGGGAATCCTTCCATTTGTCCATTTGGGGCAGGTTCGTCGTCTATATGGAGTTTAAAAGTGATAGATCTAAGGTGAGTCAGGAAATAGGAGTCTTTTCTGTTCAGCCTCTGGGGTGAATAATAATTCTTTCCTTCCTTTAGAGTAAATGAGGCCTGGGGAAAAGGTGGAGATCATGAGTTTGGCATATGCTGTTTTGTTCAAAACCCAAGGTGTCAGGTATTGGGTTAGTGTGACTCAAAACGGAAAAGGGCTGGGCCAAAAGCCATAGTTTTCCATCCCAGCTGTCTCACTTAGTAGCTGAGTAACCATATTCTCTGAGCCTCATCTGAAAAATAGGGATAATATTGCCTAATTAGAGTATTATTAGAAGTATTAAGTCAGATACTGCAGATAAATTGCTTATCATAGTATCCAGGACCTATAACTAAATATTATAAGTAAATAAAGAAATGTCCCATCACTTTTTAGAAAGTGTGGTAACTTTTTGGTTGAAAGATCCAGGACACCCCCATTGTGTGTTTGTTTTGTTTTGTTTGCATTCTTCCAAAAAGGATTTGAACTAGCTTCCCAAGCTTTTTGTGGTCCTAAAACCCTGAAAGAAGCCCCACCCCCGGTCATATGCAGAGGGACATGTGGTTTGGCTTTTTACTCTCCTGAGTCAGACTGGGGCTGCTGTCAGTCAGTACTAGTCAGTACTTCCTATAAATCAGCGGAATGGTCAGTGTCAGCTTCCCGGTAACCATTCACTCTCTTCAACCAGGGATCCTGGAGTTCTTCCACCACCAGCTAAAGGACATCATTGAGTATGCAGAGCTCAAAACGGATGTGTTCCAGAGTCTGAGGGAAGTGGGCAATGCCATCCTGTTCTGCCTCCTCATAGAGCAAGCTCTGGTAAGTCCTGGAGTGTCTCCAGGCTGGATAGGACCCCCTAGCCCAATCAAATCCTTGAAGCCCCTCTCAGTACCCTACAGCACAGATCAGGGCAGGCATACCTTGGATATATTGTAGGTTTGGTTTCAGATCATTGCAATAAGCAAGTATTGCAATAAGGTGAATCACACAATTTTTTTGGTTTCCCATTTCATACAAAAGTTATGTTTATACTACATTGTAGTCTATTAAGTGTGTAATAGCATTATGAAAAAGTTTCAGATATTGTGAAAATTACCAACATGTGACATGGAGACATGAAATGAGCATGTGCTGTTGGAGAAAGGGCACCAATAGACTTGCCTAATTCAGGGTTGCCACAAACCTTTATTTTTAAAAAATTCAATAGCTGTAAAATGTAATAACTGCAAAACACAATAAAGTGAGATGCAATAAAACACGATGTGCTTGTACTCTCCCAATGGTGGGACATGCACGTCTTTTCCATCTATTGTCAGGCAGCTCTGACCATTAGAACACTGTGGAAGGAGCACAGGCACTGGGGTGAGACAGACTGCATTCCAGTTCTGGCTGCACCACTCACTAGCTACAGGACCTTGGCCATCATCTGAGTCTTAATTTTGCATGCATTCATTAAACAAATAATTATTCCTCAGCTACCACAGGCCAGACACTGTCTCGTGTCCATATAGTCTAGAGGGGAGGCTTGCATTGAACAAGCATTTACACAGAAATTGTGCATTTACAATTACAATGAGTGCTATGTAAGACAAATACTGGGCCCAGTGAAGATATAAAACAGCAGAAGCTGGTGTGGTCTTGAGGGTGAGAGAGAACTTCTCTGAAAAAGAGACCTGGAGAGTGAACAGGAATTAGCCTGGGGGAGAACTGTGATGGGAGATAATGAATCCATCTGGTTTAAAGGATGAGTGCACATACCATGTAAAGTACATCCAGTAAGAGCTTAGTAATTGGCAGTAGTCATCATAATGAGCAGAAGCATGTCTCCTTGTGACTCCTCCTCAGGACCATACAGTACCAGCTCCTGATCTCTCTGCCTTCATCTATCCTAGCCAGCCCTCAGGGCTGATTCACAGAGGAGGCTGTCTTCCGGGCTCTGTTCTCCACATTCCTCCCTAGTGCACTCCAGTTTGTCTCAGCTCTTCTCCATGTGTGGTGTCCCCGGGTGGGCTTACTCCTGTAGGTATGAGTCCTTCAGGTTCTCTGAGCAGTGGTAGGAAACAGAGAAGCCTGATCCTCAGGATATCTTGACATGATTTTCTGTGAGAATATTTATTCACCCATCCATATATTCATCTAGGAAAAAAGGTATCAAGAGGCCACTCATTGTCAGACATGGTGTTGGGTGACAAGGAAATGGTGGTGAACAAAAGAGACAAAGTATTAACCATTTTTATCCAGCGATGGAGACAAGCAAAGACGTAAACAACCAGAGTGTGATTTTCAGATAGTGATAACATCTTATGAGTAATGAACAGAGTAGCAGCATGGATAGAGAGTGATGGAGGTGCTATTTTTAGAGAGGATGGAGCTTGTGAAATAGAACCAAATGCAGGTCCCTGCCCAGTGTGCAATCAGGCCAAAGCAGTTTACACACTGAGTGATTAAGAGAAGAGAAAATTACTACAAAGCGGCAATGCAAGGAGTAAGGGTACCCCTGTACCCAGATCTGACTCCCCAAAACTCTACAATTTTTATAGGTTTCGGAAGAGAAGGTCATGCATATTCATAAAAAATTCAGGAATTTGGGTGTGAGATGGTTGACAATTGGCTGAAATTTCCTTCACCTCGGTTTAAAGGGACAATAGCATTTTGAGTCAGTGCGCCTGCGTACTGGATGAGTCACACCGGCTTCCTGTCATCGGCTGATCAGGGCTTAGGCACAGGGGAGAATGAGAATGTTAGTTCCCAGTAACTTTGTTCCCCTCTGCCCCACTCACTGTGCATGTCTGCTGGCCAGAGTTAATTTTCAAGTTGTTTTCTCAGACACATTAATGCCTTTATCACCTGTGCCTAAGGAAATAGCAGGAAAGAATTTTTTTTTTTTTCCATTCAGTTCTTAAGGAACTAAGCTTATTGTATTTACTCATCTGTCTCCAACACAGTCCTATGTGTTTACTCATCTATCTCCAACCAGGGCCCAGGGTGGGGAAATAGTTGAGGGTAATTAAGTTTACTCATCTACTCCCATCCTGGGTCCTATCTGTTCTAATTATCTGCCTTAACCAGGATGGGGAAAATAGTTTTGACTTTACTCAGTTTCACTTGGTGTTCTCAAGGCACAGAAAGGACACCAGGATGAGTTGGAGTTAAGGGGCAAAGGGGGAAAGGAAGTAAGTGAGGTGGGAGAGTCAACTGTGCATTGTGGGCCACCATTGAAAGCTATTGGAGGGTGTGAACAGAAGAGGGTTGCTCATAGGACCCTAAGTGTGTCAGAATACAACTGTACTCCATAGGGTTTTCAGTGGTTGAGTTTTTGGAAGTAGATTCCCAGGCTTTCTTCCAAGGAGCCTCTGGGTGAGTTTGAACCACAGTTGAGCACTTAATCATTTGCACCACAAAGAAACTCCATAAGCAGAAGGATAGCATGGTCTGTTTTACTTTTTAAAAGGCTCTTTTTCCTGTCATCTTGGAGGCAGTAGCCCAGAGAGTGGAGAAGAGGGTAGGGAGGAATTTGGAAGAATACAGGGCAAAGGTACAGAGAAATGAGATGAAAGCAATAATAGAAAGAGCTTCAGAATAAGAGCCAGAAAGGATTCGCTCTATATTTCAGTGCCTCCATCTTTAAAATAAAGCTTGTTTCAGTTGCTTTCACACCTTTACCCATCTGAGCGTCTCTGAAATGGGCACTGTTGTGCTCTTCCTCTGTGAGAAATAATTGCTTCACTTTTCCCCCTTCAAATGGACTCTTGAGACAGGTAATTGTTCTTCTTTATGATAACAGGATTTTAACATGGTTCAGTAGGCTTGGGTTGCTATGGAAACTTGGCCTTCAGAAGCCATAGGGATAAGCAGGAATAACTACTCAAGGCCTCACTTCCTAAGTGTCCCCTGTTAGCACCTCCTTTCATGAGGTGCTATGACTCTGAGAACATCAATTAAGCTTCCCCTGTAAAGACCCTCTGGTGGCGTAGTGCCTAAGGCACTTGATTGCCAACCAGAAGGTTAGTGGTTCAAACCCACCAGCCACTCCTCGGAAGGAAGATTGGGCAATCTACTTCTGTAGAGATACCATCTTGGAAACCCAAGGAGGGGTCGCTATGAGTCGGAGACGACTCAACGGCACATAACAACAACAACATAGAGATCTTAGGAAGTAGACTATTTATGGAACTATAAGGAAAGGAAAATTTTTTCTCAGGCATCCCTGTGATGTGTGGGCACTAGCATATATCACTGAGGACAACAGGGCACTGAGAATCAAAGACCTGAAGAGCTGGGAAAGACCACTGAAGTATATATGCTCCAACCTCCTCTGTTCCTAGGTGAGGAAATTGAGGAGCAGAGAGAGGAACAACTAATCTGCGGTCACACAGCAATAAGGACAGAAACATAAATTTCCACTACTTATCCCCTTGCTGGGGGGAGGGGCTGCAGAGCAGGGCTCAGAGCTTTACAAATCAATTTCTAGTTAGACCACTGGGGAAATTCCCAAGGCTGAGACACTGCTTTCAGAGATTAAAATGAGGCATGGGGTTTCTAGAGCTGATTCTTTCAGGAAGCTGGAATTAAATAAGTAAATATTTAATTTAAATATTCAATAGCAATTGTTCTCCAAATTAAAGAGTAGTACTAATTGCCAAAAAGGGAGAGAAAAGAAAGAAGAAATAAATGAAGGTGACTTAATATTCAATATCTATAGATGAACTGCCATGTAAAGTGTGAACATCCATTCCCTGGAAGACTCTGAAACAGTTAATAATAAGGTAATGAAGCTTTGTACATACCAACATAGAAAAATGGTAAAAGTCACAATATTAAGTGACAAAAGCAAATTCTAAGAAAGTACACATAATATGATGCCATATATGTAACATAAACAAATAAAAATGAATCCCACAAAATAGCATTGTTTTGGAAAAATCTAGGAAAACATAACCAAGAGCTAACAGTAATTTCCTCTAAGAAGCAGGGAGGAGTACCAGGAGTAGAGACTTACAGGGGTCCAACCTTATCCGTAAGTCTTCATTTTTCTACAAGGAAAGTATATTCATATATTACCAAATTAAAATTAATTTTAAAATAGAAGTAACGTGATAGTTTCAGAAAAGCTGGAAGGGAATAATGAGAAGCCTTTTGTCCATTTTTCTATCGTGTCATCTTTTTCTAATAGCTTCAGAGTCCTTTCTGATGTGGGTTCCATCTTGGTTACATATGCTACAAATATCTTCTCTTTTTCTGTGGCATACCTTTTTTAAAAACAGAAATTATTATTACATGTCATTCATTTGCAGGTGGAGGGAGTATAAATTGAAAAGGTTGATCGCTTGAATGAAGTGATCATTGAGTTAGGTACTTATAAATGTTTCTTGAAATTTAGAATGCAGCATTAATGCAGAAACCCATGTACCTGTGGGTTGTTTTGGGTTTTATGAGCATGTTTGTGTGTGTCTGTGTAATTAAGGTATAACATAAACGAGTTACCATCAAGACAGTTCTAACTCATGGCAACCCAGTGTGTGCCTGAGTAGAATTGTGCTCCACAGGGATTTTAGTGACTGATTGTTTAGAAGGTGAACACCAGGCCTTTGATCCAAGGTGCCTCTGGGTGGACTTAAACAGCCAACCTTTTGGTTAACTGAGCACTTTACCATTTGCACCACCCAAGGACAAGGTGTAACATTCAAAAAAAAAACAAAAACAAAAAACTCACTGCCATCGAGTCAGTCCCAACTCATAGCGATCCCTCCTTGGGTTTCTGAGGTGGTATCTCTACAGAAGTAGATTGCCCTTCCTTCCGAGGAGTGGCTGATGGGTTT